TTTTTTTTTTTTTTTTTCTCTCTCTCTCTTTTAAGTTTCTTCTTGTTCAACTTTCGATCAACAGAGTAATATCAAAATTTTGGTGCTACCATATCTCTCTAGATATTATTAGGAAATACACACGCAACAGGCTCTGCTGGCGTATATACATACACGTACTTTGTATAATAAAGACTAATTAGCAAAACCTGAGCTTAAAAATGCTTCACAACCTTAAACTATTGATCTAAATTATAGATTGTGTTTGGCAATACAAATACATCTGTACAGGAGCACCATAGTTGTTTCTAAAGAAGAAACTCTCGGTCAATCAGCATTCCAAACTGTTTGTCTTCCACAACGAGAATTGTACATAACAACTGGTGAAGCATGGACGCCTTCAAGATCTCAAATTGAAAATCTCCCATATAAATAATCTTTTGGCATTCTATTAGGCCATGATGCATTATGTAGAACAAATTTTGAAACTTCCAATAAGGCATGCATGCATCATCTGGAGTATGCTCTTGGAGCACGCATAGAAGAACGCCCTTTGTCCACCGTCGGGAAGCTTTCTGATTTTCCTCTGTCCAGATTAGGATGCTCTTCAGCGTTTCTTGCTCTATTAGCATTTTGGACAAATTGAATGTCTTGATTATGACTGCTGTCTGATCCTCGATGTCTTTCAGATGATTGACCTTCAGATCCTTGAGAATTCTCTGCATTTGGAACTGAATGCTGATGGAAATGCTGATGGTCTGATCCTTCACCTTGTTCAAAGTTATGGATAGAGTCATTAGAGTGACCCGAACTTCTGCTTTTGTCTAAATTATGGAGCTCATTTGCAATCTGTGCACGTTTTTCCTTTAAGAATTTAAGTCTATTTGTAAGCTTTGCCAGTGCAGAGGTTGTATAATTAGCAGCCTATTATGCAAACAGGTGAACAGAGTAAATTTTCGATCAAAAGCTGCAGTTAAGCTGGAAGCTAGAAAGTATAGAAAATGTGAACAAAATGTTGATGAAAATATTAGTGCAGATCATGTGGTGTTCTATTATCTAAGCTTCCCTCTTAACTCTGAGGGAAATAAATTAATGGTAGAATCATTTCTTTAATAAACACTTCCATTAAGCCAAGAAAAGATATACACGTGAATATAAACAAACAAGTCCAATGCATAAGTTTTGCATACGATGTGTCAGCCCCTTGACAAATGAAATATTTTGGCAGCATAGATGTTATGTAAATTAACTGTGTTTAGACTGTTGTGTCCATCTCTTCAGAATGAGTTATACCATAGTTCCTCTGTATTGCTTATGGCATGTTTAGTATTTAGTAAGGAGGATTGGATATCAGTGGATACTATTACAGAGTGAAAAAGTTGAAATCTTTTGGCCACAACTGAGCACTAAAAGCGCATTAGAGTTTATGGCAAAAATGAAACTAATATTAACTCTAGCCAGAAGTAGGTGGATGACAAGGTTGAAAAAGTAATCTGTCTATCTGTAGACGATGTCTATGTTGGATCTTTACAGCAAAAAAAAGGAGATATGACTTTGTAAGAAGATTAGTATAGACAAACTATGAACACCTACCTCAGACTTTGTACCCTAACTATTAGAACTGGTTGTAGTATGCCTGCTTATGCCCATTTCCGCAGAGGATGTGGTCATAACATCAGTGTTTTTTGAATTTCTTGAAATGTCTGTTTGCTTTTTCGGAGGTAAATGTTTATTTGTTGAAGATGGAGAACCTAGTTTCTTGTCTTTGTCGCTGCCTGCCTTGTCCAAATATGGGTCATGCTGTACACAGAGAAAAAGAAGGTTGCCGAAAAGTTAAGTTTGATGTATGTAAGGAACAGGTCAGATTGCATTGAGGAACCCTGACCGAGTCTATTTAGATCCGAAGCTGCTTCACATTAGGGATGCAAGCAAGCCAAGCCTGCTAGTAAGCTTTTTAAGTTCAGCTTGATCTTTGGACTGGAGCCTCAGCTGCCTCGAATACTTCATAGAGCCTAGCTCAAGCTCCACAACAACTCGTTGTAAGCTTGCACGCTCATATTTTATAATGACATTACATATTATGCCCTTGTTTGATTCCCTTTTATTTTCAAAATACATTTCTCTCTTCTTTTCAACCACATTCTTCAATAAAATAATATTACACGCAAATCCAAAATTTTTACTAATTTTTTAACCACACATTCTCCATCTACTATTCCAAAATGCATTATTAGGAAATAATGGGGTTCAAACAGGCATATTTTATAATATTATTCATTAATTATTTTAAATGGAAAAGATAATAAAACAGGTTTGAGCTATAGCTCGAGTCAAGCTCAAATAATGCTAGCTCTTGAGATCGAACTACATTTTTAATACTCGGCCAAGCTTGAGCCTCAAAAGTTAAGCTCAATAGAGTTTGAGCCTTCTTTATTTTGCTTGAGCTCCAGCTCAAAATTTTTGTTAGTGCTAGGCTCAGCTTGGCTCCATCCCTGTTCATAATAAATAATAAGGTGAGGAAAAAAAAATGAAGTGGTTTAAGAGTAATAAACAAAACGTAAGCAAAAATTGAGACCCATTCCTTATGGGACCATGGGACCGACTAGGTACTGAATGACTCTAAGACACAATTTTCGTCTACTTGAGGATGCATTACAAATATTGGATTCACAAACACAGTTTAAGAAATATTTCCCCAAACAATATCTTTTATAATTGCAGTATTTATGTCTTGTTCAGCACACAAATCAAGATAACACAAAGGATGCGCAAGCATAGTTACATTACACCACGTTATATGCCCTAAGCAAATAAAACATTAACTACCTGAGAAGATATCCTAAGTCAAACACACATCTAAAAAACATGTCAACAAAATTCTCACATTCAACTAATCTAGTTTATGAGAAGTCATGGCCTGCTACTTGCCATTAATTCTGTGAGAAGATAAATATCATTCAGCATCAATGCAGTGCCACTGAGAAAATTTGTACCTTATTTCTTGCCGACTTCTCAAAAGTACTTGAGATGGATATGTCCCCAACATCAATATTTTTATCCTTTCTGCATGCAAAATGATAAAAAACAAAAAACAAAAACAAAAACAAAAACAAAAACAAAACCAAAAACAAAAAAAAAACAAAAAAACGAAAAAGAAATAGAAAAAGAAATGTAATATACAAGCAAGTACCAAACTCACCAAGCTATCAACTAAATCAATTTCTAAGCACCTCTTAGTTTTCACATACTTTCAACTGAATAAGTGAAGGATTTATGTTTCTCGTGCTATGTAACACACATTAAAGGAGGCGTCGGCCATAAAAAGAAAAAGGATTTTTCTTGCCTTTCTCTTTTCTATTTAAAAAAATTGGGGAGGGGTCGCAGCGGCTGAGTGAGAAGGATAAGTTAGAGCAAGAATGTAGAGAACATGACAAGTCTTGCATAGGTTATCAAGAACAACATTAAGCCAAGACTGAAAAACAGAAGCAGCTTACGACTTTTTTTTATTGTTTGGATTTTGTTGAAGTTGATTGTCTGTATCATGCTGAAATCTGGAATTCTGTTCCTGCTGTTGATTTAGCTGCACTTGAAGATCATCAGCCTTCTGTTTAAATTAGACACACTTGTCTCTGCTAGGGCAATTTCCTCCAATTCTGCCTTCGTCTGTAGCCACCTTGGAGTTCATTATTCACAATATATTATAAATAACATGACAAACGTAATGAGGAAATCTCACCTTCTCGTCAATAGTGGATGGAATAGATAGGGGCTCTTGAGGTATTCTAAGACCAGCTTCAAGTGCTGCCCTCAACTCCCTTTCCTTCTGTAACTGTTCTAGAAGTTTTGCCACCTAAAAGTGATTGCCTCTCGGTGTTAAAATCAGCACATGGAAAAGCTATAAAATAAAAGATTTTGTTGCAGGCAATTAGGAAAAAGAAAAAGGGACAGGAAATCATGCTGTTAAAAATGATTACCATATTTTCATCTAGAACACTGAATTATACAAATACAAGAATAGTCTATTGAAAGTGATTCCTTGTAATGTCTCAAATGAATAATTTCTGACATGACAGCTGCATGTCACTTTGCTAAAACTGCATAAGTAGGTGGCAGGAAGTTATCCGTGTTTCCATGTTTGATATTTCTATAAAATTAGAAAACTTATGAACGAACTAGTACAATCATGGATCTATTTCATTTTAGATACTTGAGAAGCCCATTGCGGCGCTCATGCAGAGCATTCATCCGCATCTCCAACTTATCTTTCAGAAGCAAATTTGCCTTCGCCTATCACGGAAGATATATTCAAAAATATTGCAATCAGGGAGGAAAAAAAAAAAGGAATAATAATGCATAAATATCATCTAGAAATAAAACTTAAAACCTTCACCTCTTTAGCAATCCTATTTTGAAAATCAGCTTTAGTAGACTCAAGCTTCTGGATTTCAGTACTAATAACAAGACCAACATATAACTATTAGCACGCGGAAAAATTTCATTCAGAGTGGAGAAAAGGTAGAATGCATGTGCAAGTCAATAGAAATGTAATATGTCCATGCATGCATGTGGAAGTATACATATTCTGATTCCTAATAGCAAGTAGCGAACTATTAACATTTTGATTAGTGAGGAATGCATTGCTTACTCATCATCAGAGGGAAGATCAATGGATTCCATCGAAGGGCTCTTCTTTGCCTGAGACAAACTCAATAAATCATTTATCTGAAAATATCGCTGTAAGAAGTCAAATCACGAAATAAATGAGAAATTTCAAGATGCGGAAGCATTGATAACGTATTTTATAAATTTGGAGCAAACTAAAACTGAAAAAAGAAGTGAGCATATAAGAAGGAAATATTCCACGCTTATGCCATTAGTGATCCCAAAAGAAATAACATATTTACTCACAGGTTTATGTCCCCAGGCAGTGGGCCATTGAGCATTCCAGCTGAGTCCATTTGATGACTTTATGGACGTCTTATCAATTCCTAATAATTCATCATCTGGTTGTATCTTTGAATCATTACTTTGATTTGGAATATTGTCACTCCCTTCTCTGCTATCATGTTGAGGTAATGAAGTTTGAATTGGATATGATGGCAACATTATATCGTCTGTAAGAGCATCATCCACTTCAGGAGAACTGGAATCTGATGTATGACCTCCAGAGACCTGAAACTTTAGTCCGTTATCCAATTTGGAAAAGAAATTCATAGACAAACAGACAAAACATGATAAGAAGAGCAAGGATAAAGAACCATAGACAAGCACTCAACAAGAACTGTGCATGCAAAACAGATTTTTATGCAAGTCCGCCCCACCATTATATACTTAGTCAACGAAACCTTGACCAATAGAACCTTTAATGCTTGTAAAAATATCAAAGGTAATAGTAGACATAAAAATGCTGCAAATCTGAGAAAAGTACCCAGAAGAATCTTTAAAAGTAAATATACGGACAGTTGATAACCCGAAGAGTAGATGTGCATACAAGTTAAAGAATTACCACAACATAGATGAAAGAAGTGCCTTGAATAATATCATCAACTGGAATACATCAAATCCGAGACAGAGAATTTTTTTGTTGTGTCATATTGTCAAAGAGTTAAACGATGGTTTTTCATGTTGTCAACGCCCACAGAGGTTCAACAATAAACAAACAGGAAAACTGATAGCAGCAGCCAAAAAGACAAAAGAAAGAAAGAGAGTTCCACTATGCACAAAACTTGGGAGAGAACCTCGTTATCAATTCTGATAACCTATAGAAAACATCAATTTGATCATTTGGAAATAGGCTGGCACTTCAGGAGTGACTTAAATAGCTGAGTTTGTGATTGTCTATAAAACTATGTTCTGCTGTTTTACAAAAGCTCAAGCTAGAGAGGAAATAACCTTCTTATTATCTTCAGTTTCACCAGTCTCACTGCTAGTTTCACTCAATGCATGCACAGAATTCACATCTATGTCCACTTCAGAACTATCTGCTACATCATCATCATCATCATCAGTAATTTTCTCACTCTCACTACCAGTTTCTGCAGAATCAGTATAGGGTTCAGGGGATGCAGTGCCCTCCTGCAAGTACGTTTCCTGAATATTGAGTAAAAAATAAAATAAAAATACTAACAAAACTATGGCAAGTAAAATTATCTTTACAGTAACCAACAACACTACAGAGAACGGGCCTCATTTTGAAAACAAGATTTTCACAACATCCAGGAGAGGTTGTAATGATTATGCTTGCTGCGATTTTACCTGATCAAGATGAGCATATACTTTATCATAGATTTAGAGTGGCTTAGCAACATATGTAAAATAGTTTCAGCAGAAGTTGCTTATGTCCACCTTATATTCATTTCTCTAGGTGATATAAAATCACCAATTAGATCCTTATAATTTACTAGGAAGAGAACTTCTGATATAACAGCTATCACAAATGAAGAGGGCAAAGTAACTGTAGAAGTGGGTGGCATAAAAATGTTTTCAAACAATTTAAAATTACTTAAGGTAGTCTAAACATGATCATAGCACACTAAGAAAACTGTAAATAAGTATCACTATGAAGATGAAGCTAGGAAAATTTGTATATTTTCCACATTAATTATGTCCAATAAAAGGCCCTATTTATAGTACAAGGGGAATAAAAAGATAAAAGGAAAACAAATCTTATACAATATCTAATTATTCAAAATAACCTATCTAATGGTAAATGGAATCCTCGGCAATCAATTCGGGATTTCAACACCCCCCTCCCCCCACCCCTTAAGTTGGATTCTAAATGTTAATCATATCCAACTAGAAGATGAGATCATCGAATTTCTATCTAGGCAATCCCTTGGTGAAAACATCTGCAGTTTGTGGTTCTGTGGGGACTCAAGTCATGCAAATAATTCATTTCTCAACTTTTTCTTTGATGAAGTGTCTATTTACTTTTACATGTTTAGTTCGGTCATGCTGAACTGGATTAAGAGAAATATTGATTGCTGCTTTGTCAACTAAGTAAAGTTTGATTGGCAACTTTGTCGTGACATGTAGTTCTTCTAGGAGTTTCCTCAACTACAACCCTTTATATATTTCTTATGCGACAGTACTAAATTTAGCTTCTGCACTACTTTTGGCCACTACATTCTGCTTCTTGCTTCTCAATGTTACCAAATTTTCCCATACAAAGGTACAACAACCTGTAGTAGATCTCCTATCATCTATTGATCCTGCAAAATCCGTATCTGTGAAAATTTTGATTACACCCAAAGTATAACGCGATGATTGTTGTATAGCCTTGGGATGTCAATTCCACAGGGAGATGGGAAAATTGCTACAAACTAGAGTTTTTGTCGTGATATTTATGAAAATAATTTATCAATTTAAAGTGGGGTTTAAATATCAATATGCAAAATAGTGAATCATCGAAAATTCCTCGATTGGTTCTGTTCAATCAACGTTGGTCAATTACGCATTTTACTCAATTAGATATTTTCGTCCTAATACTCTAATTGGAAGATATGGCATTCAATACACATTCAATTCTACAATAATTCCAAAATTTAGATTTTCCACAATACGTTACCACTTTAATCTATTGGAATTAGATTCGAACACAATCATATACATCTAGCATAGGAAGGCGGGGAATCACATCAATGAGATAATTGAAATCAAAATTCAATAAATAATTCAACCCTTCGATAGAAAAATGTGATTGAATCTATGAAGAATTTAATACAAATTGAATCAATTTCAAACAAACTTACGAAAATAGGGAATCCAAATATTAGAATTGTTTAATAATAGAAATCAAATTACATGCATGAAAAACGTTGAAATACCCTATACCAATGGAGTTCATTCCTTGCTTCACCAAGAATTTTCTAGCCTTCTATGGAGTTTTCTTCTGTCAAAAGATGAGAAGAATGGTGTCTAGATAAATTTTTTCACGTTCTGGAATGTTTTTAGCCTAAAGAAACGTATGATAACGTGTTTTCATAAGTGGTGGCTTGAAACCCGGTAATTGAAGATTCGGCCCAGAATTACTTCTATACGACCACATAGTAGAAACTCATGTGGTCGCATAGAACTCAGTTGCTGCCTCAAAATCTCTAGAGCCTTCTATGCGGTCGTATGGTTTTTGAACTATGCGACCGCATAGTTCAAAAGCTTTTCCTACCGGACAGTTTTTAGTATTTTGGCCATAACTTTCCCTCCCGATATCCGATTGATGTGATTCAAATTGCGTTGGAAAGCTAACTCAAAGGACTACAAATTTTCTTCTGATGTCATCTTCCAATTCGATCCTTTGACATGTCAAAAAGGGGTCCCAATATGAGGTTGAAAATTGATGCGTAACTTTTTCGATTGGGAATTGATATGTCATCATACTTTGACGATATTTCATCCCTTTGACATATTTCCTCATCCACGTGACCTCTAACTCTTTTGAATCTTCATCATAAGTTTAGACACAAGTTTGGAGTATTTGCACTTTAGTCCCCAAACTTTCATTTTCTTACACTTTCGTCCTTTTTTGCTCTTTTATCCTAGATTTCACATTTTCTATCAAAATACAACTTAAATCAAAACATAAGTATAATGAGTACATTTTGGTATCAAACAATCACACGAATGCAATAATTAAAAGAGGAAAATATTATATTTTATACTCTTATCAAATTTCAATTTCTTTTCTTTCGCTCTTTTTGAATAGCAGCCCTTTCCCATTGAGCCTTTGAGATATCTTAGTATCTTTTAGACGGCTTCCAGGTGACTTTTCTTTGAAGAACGCATGTGTTAACTTAGCAAACTAGCTGCAAATGCGATGTCGGTCTGGTGTGTGATAAGTGGATTAGTTTTCTCACTAGTCTTTGATATCTGTCAGTTTCTACTGGATTTCCTCCGTCATTAGTTTTCTTCGCCACATCCATAGGTGTATCGCGCTCAGTTTACATCGAGGCATGTCAGTTTCAGTTAGAAGGTCAAGAACATATTTTCGTTGTGATACGCTGATACCTCGTCTCGATCTAGCAACTTCCATTCCTAGAAAGTATCGCATTGGTCCCAAATTTTTTACTTTAAACTAAGTGGTAAGGTTCTTCTTTAGTCTCTCTATCTCCCCTATATTATCACCTGTCAGAATGATATTGTCAACATATACAATTACATCTTCAAATAGCCGGAGAAACATTGTGTGATCGTCCTTGGTGATATCCTTGATTTTTCAACACCCTCGCAAATCTGTCAAACCAAGCTCTTGGTGACTACTTGAGCCCATATAAAAACTTTTAGTTTACATACCCAATTTTTTTCGCTCACCTTGTAAAAGCCTAATGGTAATGTCATGAATATTTCTTCCAATTCCTCATTTAAGAACGCATTTTTAATGTCCAATTGCTAAAGTCACAAATCAAAATTTGCTGCTAGTGATAGAAGAACTCGAATTGTATTCAACTTTGCTACCGTGCAAATGTTTCTGTATAGTCAATGTCGTAGGTTTGCGTGTATCCTTTTGCAACCAATCGAGCTTTATACCATTCTGTTGTACCATTAGCCTTGTATTTCAAATTGAAGATCCATTTGCATCCAACGGTTTTCTTTCCTTTTAGCAAATCCATCACTTCCCGAGTTCCTTTTTCTTCCAGTGCTCACATTTCTTCCATACTACTTCTTTCCATTTCAGAATCTCCAAGGCTTCCTGAATAGTTCTTGGAATAGCAATATTGTCAAGGTAAGTTGTAAAAGCATGGAATCCTATACATAAAGCATTATAGGACATGAATTTTGAAATAGGGTGAAGAGTACATCACTGTGTTTGTTTTCTGAAAGCAATTGGTAAGTCATTATGAGATATCTCTGATACATTCTGCAGTTCTGAAGCTACCATCGGTTCTGACTCTTTTGGTCTTCAGATGTGAGATTCCCCGTGTACTTTTATTTTGGCTTCCTCGAATAAACTAGCATCTCCTTATTATTTTATTTTTCTACATCTCTCAATGGATTCAAGTTCAGTTCTGTTAATAGCATGCTAGAATTGGGTGATGGAGCAGGTAGAATAGGTTCATGAGAAGAGAGACTAAGGTCAAAGAACCGATCTTCATGTAAGGTCTCTCCCTGAAGAGGTATTTTTAAAGTGCGGAAAATTTTCGAAGAAAGTAACATCAAGGCTTACAAAGGTTCTTATCGTGGAAGGGTCATAACATTTGTAGCCCCTTTGTGTAGGAGAATACCCAATTAGAACACATTTGATATCTCAAGGATCAAGTTTACTTCTATGATGAGAGTGAACATGAACGAATGCGGTATGCCCAAAACACTCTTAGGGTTAGATTAGAGATGAGGCGCGAAGTTGGGAAATATTTCTGGAATTTCTGTAAAGTGTTTCAAAGTTATGGCACGACTAGGCATTCAATTGATTAGATAGATGGATGTAAGGACAGCGTCTTCCCAGAACATTTTAAGCATGTTTGTAGTTCACATTAGGGCACGCGCAACCTCTAGGAGATGTCTATTTTTGCGTTCGACAATCCCATTTTGTTGGGGAGTGTCAACTCAGGAGCTTTGATGAACTATTCCATGTCTTTGGAGAAAGTCTCCCATGATGGTATTGAAATATTATGTGCCATTGTCAGTGTGAAGAATTTGAATCTTTGTTTGAATCATGGAGTGAAAATTGATGAACACGTAACGAACCTCGGATTTATCTTGTAGCAGATAGACCTAACAAATTCAAGTGTCCTCATCAATAAAAGTAATAAACCATTTTGCGTGAGTACAATTTGGAACTCGAGAGGGGCCCCATATATCGTTGTGAATCATGGTAAATGATTTTGATGGCTTGTATATGGATTTTGGAAACAATGTAAGTTGATATTTCGCAAGTTCACAAATTTCACATTAAAGATTAACTTACTTTTTATTGAAAAAAATAGAAGGAAATACATAAGTAATAAAAGTTCGGATGACCCATTCTATAATGCCATAACATAATATCACTATCTCTAAGGACAGACGCAGAATCACAAACTTTAATTTGACACTGTTTACTCACATCAATCTCGTTAAAGTAGAGTCCTTCACTTTCTTTAACATTGTCAATCATTTTCCTAGATGATAGGTCCTGAAAAGTGTTGTGAGAAGGAAGAAATTTAGCAAAGCAATTGGACATTTTTGTTAATTGACTTATAGATAGTAAACTGCATGACAAATTTGGAACATGAAGAACTGATTCTAAAGTTATAAAATCAAAAATTTTAACTCTTTTTTCCTGCGACCATAGATAGGGAACCATCTGCAATCTTAACCTTAAGATTATTGGCACATTTGTATATGAAGAGAATAGGTGATAGGATTTCATCGCGTGATCAAAAGCTCCCGAGTTAATGATCCAAGGCATTTTAGATTGAGTTGTAGGTTTTAGGGCTCTCAAAAAATTGCCTCTGTAAGCTAGTGAACTTGAAGGATTATTTGTGGATGTTTGACTTGTCGATTGTAGGCTCAAAAACATTTTGTAGAGTTGTTCCATCTATTCGGAGTTGAAAGCGCAACTGGATTCTTTTGTTTTTCTGTTGGATAATCAACAAAAGCTTGATATCCACGATTTTTGTTACTTTACCTCGATTTCCAATCTGTTGGCTTTCCGTGTAGATCCCAACATGTGTCCTTGTGTCCCATCTTACGATAGTGTTCACTTCAGGGTCAACCTTTTTATGTTTTGACCCTTTTGATATAAACCCAATCAACTAGGCCCATTATTAGAATAATTGGAACCAACATTCAATCCAGCTTCATTGTGAAAATTTAATGGCCCATTTTTTAACTTTGAAGGCCCATTTCCCTTCACTACAAGTCCAAATGTCTCAATCCCAGACTCAAACACACCATCTAACCCATTCATCATAATCTTTCGTCGACTTTCTTCGCATCTTACTTTTGCGAAGACTTCACAAGTGACGGTAGAGGTCGCTAGCCAAGGATTTGGCCTCTAACATCGTCGAAGTCACCATTGAGCGCGGCCAAAAATTCGAACACCCTCTCATTCTCCAATTTTTTCCAATAGTAGACACTGTGTTCTGGGCACTTCCATTTCTCATCGGAACTCAAGTTGAGTTCTTGCCACAACGCAGTCATTTCAAGATAATAATCAATCACCTCACATTCTCTCTGCTTGGTCTGCCACAACTTCGATTTGATTTTAAAAATCTGGGATGAATTTTCGAAATCGGAGTACATCTCCTTCACAGTTTCCTAGACATCCTTCGCCATGGGTAAGAATAGTTAAGTTTTTCCAACTGAGGGCTTCATGGAATTGACGAGCCATGCAGTCACCATGGAGTTCTCCGATCGCCACTTTCGGAGGAGAACCTCTTCGGTTGAGGCCGGCATCTTCGCTTCTCCTATGAAGTACCCAAGTTTTCCCTTTCCATCAACAATTAGTTTGATAGACTGTGCCCACTCCCTATAGTTCTTTCCGTCCAATTTTTCTACTGTGAGATGGAAGGACGAGTTTTCAATTCCTCCACTCATGGCAGAGGTGGCCTCTATTTCGCTGGTGAATGATTCAGAGGTCATTGAGCCTCTGTTATTAACGGCAGTTTCTATCATCTTCCCTGCTCTGATACCATGAAGAAGCTACGAAAAATTGTATATTTTTCACATTAATTATGTCCAATAAAAGACCCTATTTATTGTAAAAGGGAAATAAAAAAATAAAAGTAAAACAAATCTTCTACAATTTCTAATTATTCACAATAACCTATCTATGATAAATGGAATCCCCAGCAATCAATTTGGGATTTCAACACACTATATATACTGGTATATATCAGGAGGAAAACATGCATTGAGAAATAGAATTACCAACAAAAGAAAAAGAAAATTCGAAAACTGGATTCTTGACTTTGTAAAAAATGATATAACAATGGTTCATGGCCCTCAAACTGAATAGAATAGAGTTCTTGTATACAAACTTCTGTATGGAGTTTTTCCATTATAATGAAAATGGCATGGAGAGAAATGTAGGTCAGTGAACTGGAATGTAGCTAGCTATTCTCAATTGAAATTCATCGTATGAACCTGCAATCTGTAATCCTAGGATTTTTCAACCCTCACTCATTTCAGAGTCTTCTGAAATAAAAATGTTCGTCGAAGGTAGGCTAGATTAAAATATCGATAAGGAAATTCCAAACAAGAACAGGGTCTAGTCATGCGATGTGTGAACCATAAACTTTCATGTGTAGCTCAACTTTATATATCCACATAAGACAATCCATGCATGCATGCAGCTGTATAAGAAGCAACTAAGAAATAATTAAAAAATAATAACGCCAATGACTGAGGATACCCCAAATATATTATCATACTCCTCAAGTAATGTAATACAAATGGCTTGAGCATGGTTAGCTGCAGCAGCTGCCTGCAAAAGTTGAACAGATCCATCACCTCCCATGTCAAAAACATTTTCTAGCTCACAATTGCCAGCAAGAAGGGGGCGAAGAAGCAAAGGAGCCATGCAAGCCGCCACAGCTGATGTGCTCATCCGGTTCTCAGCCTTGTGTGATGCTATCGTTTGCATCATCATGAGAATTCTGACACAGATAAGAAGAAATATCTAATTGAGCCCATGTTTAAGCCCCATTCTTTATAACTCATTTTTCCCCAAACTCATTTTCAACTACACATCTTCCAATAAAGTAATTTTTCAGGTAAATCCAAAACTTTTCTAATTTTTTTCACACATTCTCCAAAAAAAATCACTTTTACAAAATCGATTCTCAAAAAATGGGGCTCAAACAGGGGGCTAAATTTCAGAAATGTTAATACTTGTCAATTCAAGAAAGCCGTAGAATATATGGCATCATTGGAGGAAAATGAAGCAATAATTCGAGAATCACATCCACGTCTAAGAATGTTTGATGCCAGAATACTAGATTTAACTAATAACAAGCTATATCATGTTTGCCAGTCATGTGTACAGTCAGTGTATAATAAACATACAAGTTCAGCTGAAGAATGTACACCCCCAGCGTCGAATTTGATAGTACCTTAAAGCTTTAGCGTCAGAACAGATAATTTGGTTCTTATAATTAAAATTTTCCACTGCAAGCACTTCATAAAAATCCAAAATGAATAACAAATACACAATCCAGGCATCTAATTAGACCTTAAGATAAATTCATTCACCATCCACATTATACTAATATAACGATTTTTCAAAAATGGGAGGCACTTCAGAGAAACAGATTTCAATGAGTTTGGGAAATATTGAATCACGAGCCAAAGTTTAAGCAGTTAGATAGGGCCAATTGTCTATCAGTTAAATATAATCTTTAATATGCCCACTAAAGCCTTACAGGTGCAAAATTTTAAATAAATGGACAGCGATGAGACTTGAACTCAGGATCTTTGCTTGCTCTCATACCATATTGAACTACTTGATCTAAAAGTTTAAGCCTTAAAAAAAAAAAATTAATTAATTAATTAAAAATTAAAAAAAAATTAAAAGGCGATTAGGAAAAAGACAATCATTTGGAAATGAAAATCAAATATCATAGCTGTATGATGGAATTCTTAGAATGTCTACAATTCATCTCTCAATTATTGTAATAAATTAAACATGCACAGTGATACAGAAGATTTTGTTGCCCAAACAATGTGCTACAGTTTCAGTACCAAATTGTTAATATTTTCTATAAGAAATTCTATGAAAATTAAAAACAAATAGACCATTATTGAGCAACGATGAGGTACCCAATACGAAATTAGAGTAATTAGTCAAGCAAGAAAATTGAACACAACAGTAATCTTCGTGTACGAGTGTAAACCTTTTTAAAGGCATCTTCTAGAAGCTTCAAATTCATATTTCCTGCACATTAAGGCCATGTTTGAACCCCCATTTTTGGGGGAAAATAGGTTTTAGAATAGTGATTTTTTGGAGAATGTGTGGTTAAAAAATAGGAAAATTTTTGGGCCTACATATAAGATTATTTTACGGGAGAATGTGTGGTTCAAAATAAATTTTATATAAATGAATTTCTGGAAAAACGGAGCTCAAATATATGATAAGGGCTGCATGGTCTATTATTAAAGCAAGAAATTTAGCAGTTAAAGCATATTATGCTCATATTAGTTTTGCATTAGTTATTTCCAAATACAATCTTAGAAGTCAGTGGAAAGTAAAAACTTCAAAAGCAAAGGATATCAAACCCAAGTAAAACCTTATGAAAACCCCTATAAAATTTCAATTCTTTAGGCTCTTATTCATGCTCTATATGAAAGCAGAACCAGGAGAAATTATTCCTTGCTTGTTTCAGAGAAAACTATTAGCTAAAAGGGCAATAGGGAGTGAGCAGAACATAAACAGGAATACACAAATCCACTCGCATGTGTGCATATCATAGTGCATCAGTATTGGCAGACATTACCAGTAATATGGAATGCCAAATTAGGAAATTAAATAAATATATCCAACAAACAAAGAGGAACCAAACTTAGACTTCGGAATAGTAAAAAATGAAAGAGCCAATATATTCAGTTATTGCCAAATACCTTTGTAATAAGCGGCGATTTGGCTCTGGGAACGTTTCACATATGGCTGAACACATAGCATTAACTCTCATGCCACGATCAGTTCCTAACCATCACAAGAATTCCTCCACTTGGAATCATTAGGGAAAAAAGTACCGACTAAAAGAAGGAACGTTGAAATGTTATCTAATTCTAATATGTAGCAAAATAAAACTCATTACCAAAACTGCAGGTTTGGCTTCGCCATCATTGTACTTCTCTCAAACTAAAACAATCCAACCCAAGTAACTCTATTGGACCCGAAACATAATGTATGCTGCTGATGATAGAGATCAGCTAGGTGATAGCTAGACCCACCATCAAGGCTGACTGCGATCCGGTTTAGGAAATTTGACTATTGATTTTCTTCCATAATCAATTCATTTGGAACTTATACAAATTTGAGAAAGTAGATTATCTTAAGAATCTCATACAAAGGTCTGCTTATGAGTATAAAAAAACAGAAAATATTGTATATAAAAATAAAAAAATAAAAATTATTGACTAATAGACCAAGTACATGTGAGCTAATTTTGCTAAATTAATTACATTTTCACAAGGAACTATTTATCCAGCGGCTTCTAAAGCTTCAATGTTGGCTGTCCTAAGCCCGCACTACAGGATAAACAGAAGGATATCATATACAGAACACTTCCCCATGATACCAATTTCAGTGTAGTTCTCGATTTAGCACAATAAAAATGCATCTGTGTATCCATGGTGTTGACCGTCGGAAACTAGTATTGTGCTTTCATTATGAAAGTTCATGAGTTTAACTGGTGGGACGAAACTGGTGGGATGAATACTCAAGACTTCAGAAGATATTTGTATAAAACAGATCAAAACAGAAAGGTGTGATAATGTTACTGTAGTAGTAATAATAATAATACTAATAAACAGGATGACCATAAATTTCTTCCTCATTTAAAGATAAAATTATTGTATCGCGACTAAATGAACACAGATTTGAGTCTGACATGCACTCAGTATTATATAGCAAGTATTTAATCCAACAAATACACTATCTCCATTAAGAGATTTATGCACATTCTTTTTCATAGAAAGAATGTGGTTTCCCTTTTCTTCTTTCTTCAACTACTCAAATATTCAATCAGAATGTAAGAAAACGGGATAAAAGAAACCGAACTGAGACAAAAAATAAAAAACTTACGACATGCTTCAAGGAGGGCAATGCAGCAAGAAGCAGGAACTGGTGATGATGGTAACTCCCGAATAACATACTGGTATATGAAAGATGCATACAATTATGAAGAAACAATAACAAAATTTTCATATAATTTTGTGATGCAAGGATATACCTTGACACAGTCAGCTATCACATGTGGATCCTCCTCAGGAGTAAACTCATTTTTTCCTGAATAAGATGGAGAAATATTGTGAGATATATCAAGTTTCTATATATATGTTAGTTGGACTTGAAAAGGTTGTACTGACATCAAATACACTATATCAGGTGTCCATGTGCTGAAGAGAAATAAAGAGTTATGGATAGATATCTTATTCTCACTACATTTTCTCGCCACGGTATCCATCAATTTACCCATAAGGCGTGTAGAGAGGGGGAGAGAGAGAGATTTAAAATCCATAGTAGAAAAAAGAACGGACAAGAACAAAAATGAACTGGAGTTAGAGTACATAATAATTGCCCATATACAAAATCAAACTTGAAACAATCTTGAAAGCAATGCAAAGGTATAATTATGTTGATTTTCCATGATTCCAGATAAATAGTATCCAAACACGTCTTCGCCGATAATTTTATTTTGAATACAAACAATTTTAAACCTCAAATTTACGGGAACGTGAAAATAATTGAAATAACATGGTTATATTTTGGACAAGACATATAATTAAATCTACGTGTATCTACTACTAAATAGAAAACAACAAATCATTCATGCAAATCATTGCATTAAAGAAAACCAACCCTGTTCATAATCTCTTATTCGACGTTCAACATCATCAACGTCTGCAGCTTGCCGCAAGATGCCCTCTACTTTAACTCCTTGAAATGACACTAGATGATTAGAATCAAGAAAATGAAAAAGAAACTAAGTGTGAAATCAATGAAGTTCATGTGTAATTGTTATATAGTAAAAACCACAACTGAGGGAAGATAGAAAGACTATTTTATAAAACAGGTAGTAGACAAGAAAATGAAGCCCAATTGAAAACCTAGAATGAAAGACAAAATTCCATCACAATGAGGCAATAAATGCAAAGATGTCAGCATGTTTAGGGGACATCTGTTTTATTATCTATCTCAAATCTTGAGTTTTATTAAATGAGAAAAAAATAGGAAGTTAGGAGAAATGATTTCCTTCGCCTTCATGCATTTAGAAGAAAATCACATGTGGTCTTTAGAAGGTGACAAGTGGGAATGAGATATTGCATTCCATCTGTCATGGCTAGACATGTAGGGGATAAATGTCTTATAAATGAAAATGGAAAGTGGCCAGCTTGCCGGCTTTCCATGCATATCCACAAACAAAAGAAAAAAAAGAAAACAATTGACAAACGGTACTTTTCTTATTTTGTCCAATGAATAGATTCTAGGAAGTCCCTTTAATGAACATGAAAGTAGTGTGACTATTTATTCTTCCCGATTCTATAAATTTCATCATTTCAATGATGCCCATTCAATGACCTGGAATTTAAATATTTTAGCAGCACGAGAGAAATAAGCAGAACAAGTTTTTAATGCTCTATCAACCATGGCAGCAGAAAGGTAAAAGATGATCAAAGGGAACTTATTCAAAGGAATGGATATAGAGGCATAAATCTTTTTTATTATAATACATGGGAGGTTAGAGGTTCTTTTGTCTAGCGAGCATACTCCAATATAACAGCTAAGTGGATATTTTGTTATTAGATGAATTCTAGGAGTTTTTAGTTATTTTTTCCTTTCATGTGATGTCTCTCCTCTGTTGCACAATCACCATAATGTCTAAGAAAATTAAGTCATAAAATAAGTCAGGAAGAAACTATGTTTTTTGGATATCAAATCATCCAATGATATAAAAACTTGAAGTAGAAACTCTATCCCATATAATCAGAATCATCTTTCGTGGTATATATTCAATAAATATTTATGGCATCGCTATCAATATATCTTATCATAACGTTAGCAAACCTCGTTCTATGTTCTCGAAATCGCATGGAGCATCAGATTATTTATGAGATAAAGTAATGTTTTATCAATCTTAAGCCATATCCTTTCAAAAATTTACAATTTCATTCACCATGACCATGAGGAAGGGCGCATATAAGGACATTAAGAATAAGCATCTTGACATGAAAAAATATAGTAATAAATGCTAATCACCAGTGACATCCTTCAATGAAATAGAACCAGAAGCTCACCGTGAGCTTCAACAAACCTAAGAGCTTTCTCCAAGAGGGATGGAGTCCCATTTATATCTTCCAAAGCAAGTAAAATTGGCCGGCCAATGACCAAGGATTTTACTGGTTGTCTATCTTTCACTGTAATATAAGACCAAGGTTGAATTGAAATTAATTTCAAAACAAAGACAAGTAGACAAAAAATAGAATTGGAAAAACATTGTGGTGGAACACAACAAAATCCCAAATAAAAGATGAAAATAAAATAAGGAAATTTTCTGCAATTCCAAGACATGAAGTTAAATTCTCATAACTACATATCAGCTAAATGTTAAACTGGCACACAGCTAACAGGCCACTCTGTAACTATGCATGGTATATTATAGAGCAAAAAGTTGAAAAAAATGGAAACATACTTCGAAAAGTAGAATACTAGTAGATGAACTTATTTTCACTTGCTCAATCAAAAAACCTCACTCATACCATAGGATTCTGGCATTACAGGAAAATCAGATTTTGGCATTATCGCACTCCAAGGTCCATGAATTTTAAGCTTGTTAAGAAATAAAAAACGAAAACTTAAAAAGAGTAAAAGAAAACATGGAACTTGTATCCCTTTGTCTTCCAAAGTAGATTTGCAAGTTACTAAAACTACATGGACATCTAGATTACATAAGGTAGCCACCATTATTCTTGCAGATTGACCTTTACTTGAATTTCAGAGCTTTGATAGAAGTATACAGCTACTTCATTCAGCCCCCGTTTGGCCCCCATTTTCTGGAAATGAAAATGGGTGGAATAGTGTTTTTTGAATAATGAGTGGTTGAAAAAGAATGAAAATTTTTCGATTTACATGTAATATTATTTTATGGAAGATTGTGTGGTTGAAAATAGGAGAGAGAAAAATGGAATGTAATGAAATGAAATTTAATGGGGGCTCAATAAGAAAGTAGAAGCAAAGCTTACCCTCTTCCAAAGAAGTATCAGCTGCATTGGACTGATTGTTCCTGATTACACCATTTTGCCCCATAAGAAGAGCAGCACTAGGTGCATTTAACAGGGCTTCCTCAAGTGCAGCCTTCCACTCTTGTAAATCCTCCAGTGTTTCTGCCTGTGGTAAATAAACCTCAACACATAACAACAGCAAGAAATCTAGTTCTATCCAGAAGCATGGTTAGCATGAGAATAAGGATGATGACATCCGTACAAAATAACAGTAGGTAGACAGAGAAATCTGTCTTTCCCTAGTGCCCGTAATAATTATTTAACTCTTATTTGTTCTTATATCTCTGACGGGCCAACTTATCCAGCAGGTGACTGAATGAAAGGTTAGTTTTCAAAGTTGACTGAATGAAAGGTTAGTATTTCAACTCAAGCATAATCTATTAGGTGTTCATGTTATTAATGGTAACTCAGCTTCCCATTTTCCCCACCCAAAGATACTTAGCTTTCCAGTGTTATGTGTGCCACTAAAGAGATATTAAATGAAAAGGCAAGCTCCTCTAACTGTTTTAGTCAAATAATTTAAATACTTTATCTGCTCTAATATCATAACATCCATGTTCAGAGATCTCCAATTGGATAACAAATGGTCTTGCCTTTGGCCAAGAATTTAAATGCATGCAAACCACTAGGTCCTCTATGTTTTACTTACAAAAAAGCTAAGTTGAGCCAGTTTACACTTACTCCAAATAAAACTAGTTTACAATCTTCTATCTCCCTAAAAATTATGACCAAGAGAACGAAACAATCCAACATTCTGCATATATTTAATACACTTCTGTAGTGTCATTCAGTTTATTTCCTATATGGAGTCTCAATATATGTTAAATAGTAGGAATAAGCAAATAACTGAACAAATCAAATCATCTTCCTATAATATTAAACTTTTTTTTTCACATAATGATCCCAATTTAAAAATGTTCTTGCAAAATCGTACATGTGCTGTTAAGCTAAGAGTCAACTTATGCTCTAGAAAAGGAGATCCCTGATACATTCTCTCAGTAAGATTGAAATATTGATGGAAGAAGGGGCTTTGTGCACATTGTGTCTTCTTTCTAACGGACAACATTGTGGACAAACTAGAAGAATGAAGGAGATGGAGTCTTGAAAACATTGTGAGGATCGGATACAAGCACAACCAAATTCAAAAGATACACTAAAGGAAATCATTGCACTGGCTGTCTTTCAAGCATAGACTAAACCATGACAATCAGAAAGCAACACTTCAAACAAGTATTAGAATGAGGGAACTACAAGCAGAGCCCACAAAATTGACATCAATGTCCAGAGACTACCATATTATAGGTTCCAATTTACCACGATAGATCTGGCACTACACTGATAGTAGAGGTCATAAGTAAAATAAGTTCTCTTCAAACAAGAACGTCGCATGTACAATAAAACAACTGGGCAATATCTTAATGGAACAGGAAGCATGCAGACTGAAGTAAGATAATAAGATAAAATTTCAAAGAGAGAATTAGTTGATGAAATTAAACATCAGAAAACAAGAAGAGAAGGCAAGAGCACAATGATCTTTTAAACTAAAAGCTTTAATCTTGCAAGCAAATCTCATTAGGTTTGCACCTTGAGTGTGAAAGCTCTTCCATCACGACCATCAGGAAAAAGCACGGTCAAGAGTTCCTTGTCTTCTTTGACTAACACACTGGAAGTGGATCAAAAAGTCAACAAGATAAGGCTTACATATTGTGGTAGGAATTGGGGCGAGGCAACCAAATCGTTGCACAAATGAAAACACAAAAACTATATACAAATATAAAATCCAACCTTCCAGAACTGTTGAGATCAATACCACCAAGGGT